TACCACCAATATGGTGGTTGTAAGTATATTTACATAGATATTGTGCTTTTGTGGGGGAAGAAGGGTGAATTCGCATCAGACTGACGCGGACCCGCTATATTTGTATTTTGACGTAAAATGAGCGGGCTCGTGCGGGACTGGTGCGGAGACGCGGGTCTCTTTTAAAAGTCTGCTGACAGATTCACTAAATTTTGACCAGCGGACCCGCATGAGACTAATGCGGATTCGGGTTGTGTTTTACCCCACTCCAACATATATATCTTCCTCCATTCTCCTCCTTTCACCACACCAAAAACTTATACGAAAACGAGAGAGAGGAGCTCTGCTGGTTGCTCGAAGATAGCTAGGTAAGAGACACATTTATTTTTGTAATTATATTATTAAATTGCTATTATAATTTTCTTTAGTTAGTAATTAGTGAATTTGTTTGTTATGTAGTGATTTTAGGAAATTTGAACTAATTGTTTGGTGGAAATCGGAGAAAGCGGAGGACAATTTTGGCGTTCATTTCGCTGGTGGTAGAAGGTTTCAATTGACAATTCCATGTCGGGTGACATATCATCAATTTTGTGAGAATCTAATCCCGAGAATACGGTGTAAAGACGAAGCAGTACAAGAAAGTGATATGATCACATGTTTCACTTACCGTCTTCCCGAATGGAAATGTTCTATTTCATTATGCGATGCCTATTGTGGATGATGATGGTTTGAATGTGCTTTTTGATTTTATGGCACAAAATCCCTATTGTTTGGGCGCTGAGGTACATGCTTATATTAGCCAGGCTGATCAGGGTGAAGATGATACATGAAGTGTGCCATCTGACCATGATTATGACGAGGAGGAGGAAGAGGATGATGATGATGAGGAGGAAGATGGGGAAGAAGAGCAGCCTAACTTTCCTCCATATTTTTACTTGCAGGCTGCTGAAGAGGATGATGAATTATCATATGTTGATTCATATGGGGTAATTCCAATGCCTATTGTTACTGGTTTTGAAGGGGAATTCTACAAGGGTCAGATATTTCACTCGAAACAAGCTACACAGGTGGCGGTTAAACACCCCACACTACAACGCAACTTTCAGTATGGCGTGGTGGAGTCGTCACCTTCAATCTGGAAGGTTAGATGCTTGAAGCATAAGGATAACAATTGTCCTTGGATGGTGCGGTTTGGATGTCGAGACGTTGGAAGCGAATGGACTATGAGAAAGGCCGGGTTGGTGCATTCTTGTAGCAGTACGACTCAACCGACAGATCATCGCCATCTTGATGTCGACGTTATATCTGAGTCCGTGAAACATTTGGTACGTGCCCAACCTAATATGAGTGTTCTAACTGTGCAAGCCGAGATGAAAGATAAATTTAATATGCAAGTTACATATAAGAAGGCTTGGTATGAGAAACAAAGAGCATTGGAGAAGTTGCATGGAAATAGGGAAGAATCCTACGATTATTTGCAAACATTCTTGCGGGTGGTAAAGAGAAAAATGCCAACATCAGTTATTGACTGGGTAAGAGTTCCTTCAGCTCAACCAGGTCATTCGATCTTTCAGCGAGTATTCTAGGCTTATGGACCTTGAATAGATGGATTCAAGAATTTTCCAGGAGTCATGGTTGTTGATGGAACATTTCTTACTGGAAAGTATAAAGAAGTGCTACTCATGGCGAGTTCATTTGATGGTCGGAAGAAGATTTTTCTAATAGCATTTGCCATCGTGGAGAGCGAGAATACTGAAAGTTGGCCATGGTTTATAAATCATGTTCAAAGTTTGACCGATCGAAATGACGTATGCATCATCTCATATAGACATGCAGGACTCTATGAAGCCATGGGTGACATTGGAAGAGGTTGGGAGTGGAGGTGGTGCATGCGACACTATGCAAGCAACTTGAAAAAGAAAACTAAAAGCAAAATTATGTATAACCAACTGTTTCGAGTCGGTAAGTCTCTTCATCGTTATTGTTATTTATTTTCGACGTATTATTTATTTTAATTTATTATTATCAGGAATTTATCTAACTCTTGTGGTTATTTATTTTGTTAGCTCGAGAAAAACGCTTGGAGAAGTTCGATCGTCAAGTTGAGAAATTTAAGAAGATGGCCGCTGAAAGAAATATTTCTTATGATAAATATAATTGTGGGACTCGATGGTCTATGGTGACGAACAACATGGCAGAGAGCATCAATGGTGTTTTCAAAGGTATTCGTTCACTTCCTATAGCTTCTCTTGTGCAACATACTTACTGGCGATTATTGGAGAAATTCGATAAGATGAGGTTGGAGACAGAAGCACAAATCAGAAGTGGGAAGTCACAGTACACTCAACCATGTGAAGATCTGATGAAGCCGTGGGCATAAAAGGCAGTTGGGCATTCCGTGACGGGGGTTGATCGATGTCAGGGCATCTATGTGGTTCAGACTCCTCCCAAAAATTTCAACATGACGGGTTCGAACATACACACAGTGCATTTCGATGACCACAATCGAGCGGGATTTTGCACTTATGGGAAATTCCAAGGAAATAAAATTCCTTGCTCTCATGCCATTGCAGCATGCAACTGAATGGGGGCTAACCCGTATAGGTTTATAAACGACATCTATAAGCTGGAAACAATATTGGCTTGTTATGGGACAAGTTTCACACCTCTTGGTGAACCTAAGGGGTAGAAGAAGCACAATGGCTCTACTCTCCATCCTAACGTGCACATGATTAGGAAACCGGGGATGCCACGAACAATAAGAATTCACAACGATATTGATTGGCCAAGAGAGGAACTAGGTGGACATGATGCATCAACTTCCGTTGGAGGAGCAAGTGGCAGTGAGAGTCAGCGAAGAGGAAGTGGTAGACGTGCGAGAGGCGGTAGAAGAGGAAGTAGTGGTAATAGACGTGGTATGTAATTGGTTGATGTTGTTATGGTTTGAATGTCCGAGTGTGTTATTGTTTGATGTTTGTAATTGTTTTTCGACGTATTTGTAATGGGTTGTTGTTGTTATGGTTTGAATGATCGAGTGTGTAATTGTTTGATGTTTGTTATAGTCGACCATACATGACAATAATAGTAAAATAAATAGTCCACCACAATACATAATAATACTACATGACATGAGACTGAGAGTCCACCACAATACATAATAATACTACATGACATGAGTCTGAGAGTCCACCATAATACATAATAATACTACATGACATGAAATAATAGTCCACCATAATACATAATAATACTACATGACACGAAATAATAGTCCACCATAATACATAATAATACTAACGATCTCCACCCCGACGACCACCACGACGACCACCCCGACGACCACCACCATGATGATCCACAAGATGACCGCCAGTACCACCCAACGATGCATGTCTGTCCCGTACTGGCCTGCCCTCATCATGCTGAGACTGATCTCCGTCATCCTGATCCTGAGTACCGAACAAACCATCTATCTGAGACTGGGGATGCTCGTCTAGTGCATCTGTGGTAAAACCCTGCCCCCGAAGCTGCTGCTCATTGGGCCACATGTTGTCCAAAAAATTATCATCCCCCTCTATGGTGTCTCCTCCATCTATAGGTTGAGGCTGCTCTCGGTGATGCTACTCTGGGTGAGGATGTGTATCCGCCACCCATCATAACATGTTACGGCGGTGTATGAAAGCTATCGGCTGGTGGCTAAAATCCCGAAGGCTGAAACTGCGGCTGAAAGGCCTGAAACTGGGTCTGAGTCTGAGAAGGCTGAAACTGGGTCTGAGTCTGAGAAGACTGAAACTGGGTCTGAGAAGACTGAAACCCATAAGAACACTCCCTAGGAAACCGCGCTAGGAGGGCTGAAATTGGGTATGATAAGGCTGAAACCCCCGCAGAAGAGGACGGCTGAAACTGCGACATGAAGTCGAAGGTAGTAGTAGGCCGGACAGGACGTGCTCGCTGACAATCTGAAATCCGAACTGGGTGAGGTACGTCGCGGTGCTCACGTCGCTGTCTATGCCTGCTGGGCTCCTGTGTGAACTGTGGTCCTCGCACGTCCCACTCATGTCTTTGATTAGTACGCTCTGGCCAACTGCCAACGCTGCTCTCAGATGGCTGCCACTGCACCGGTACCATCATATCATAATGTCGACGAGAATCCAAACCTAGAGCAGCAACCTCGGCCACCATCATGTCGGCCAACTCCATCCTATCCTCTGTGGACAACTCCCCTTTCCCGTAATCCCAGCTCAGCGTACTCAAAGGTGTCGTACTGAAAAATTTGTTTAATATATAAAATATTCCACACAGCTATGAATTCCAATCAACTAAAATTTTATTTTAAAACAATAAATAACTAACCGCTGCGTTAACTCCTGCTGCTATCCGTGTGACTGCACATCTAGTAACATCTCGATACCACTCGAGATGCTCCGAGTGGTAGGCTAGAGTCTCTTGAGTATATGGCATAGTCTCTATATACTCATTTCGACGACTCCACAAATCAATAGACTCTCTAGAGGTGTGCATCAACCGCTGCCCTCGCGATGGCCCACGAACTGTCTGGCGAAGAAACCACCTAATCTCAGCCTCAGGAGCTTGATGATGAGGCTCGTTCTGCATCATGCCAAACTGTCGGAGTACGCGATCTGGATGGTGCCACATCACTACTGAAAAGTAGATCAGTGGAACCACTGCTCAAAAGGTATATGACTCGATCACAGAACCCCTAAACTGCTGGTCTCTCTCCCTGTAAGGCAGCCACTACACAGAAAGGTGGGCACATTATTACTCATTAGTCTAAAATATACTAATGTGAACCAAGAACTATTCTTGTATAAAATGTTATTACTAACCACGATTGTCTCCAGCTCGTCTAAAAACAACTTATAACTAAAGAGCTGGTCACCATGCTGACGGGTCATGGCCGAAAGCCATTGAGCACCACGTGGATATGCGTCCTCTGTAATAGGCTCATCCATCACTGTATGTCGTGGTGCTATCACTGGGAATCGCTCCCACGCCCAGAGCTACAGCAAGGTGACCCAGCCACCAAGGTCACCTCCGGTGGAAGAGGACTGCGTCATATGCAGAACCGACCTACCCATCTCACGGTACAGGTAGGCTAGAATAGCTGCACCCCAAGCGTAGCCTCCAGCGATCCACCAATTCTCCAACATGAGTAGATACTGCAGATGAACTATAACTCCAGTGCGATCGGGGAACATCATACACCCCATCAAAGATAGGGCATACGCTCGTGCAAACTGCCCTGTAATCTCTGATGATGCATTTGGCGGCAGATTGTTGAAATGATCCCTAAGCCAACTAATCCTAACGACACCCCCGCTAAGATCGTTAGGAGCATGTCCTAACAGTCTGATACACGTCTCCGACCACTCCCGATCTGGTACGTCTACTATGACGGTCGCACCGTCGATCGGTAGACCACTAGTGTGGCAACGTTTTCAAGAGTGATTGTAACCTCACTGAACGACATGTGGAAGGTCGATGTCTCAGGACGCCAACGCTCTACGAGAGCAATTATCAAAGATACATCTATACAACCAGTCATAGGGACCAACTGCTGAATGCTAAACAAACCGGCATCCTGGAGATACGACTCATAACGTGGATGGTACGTGACCAAATTGGTCGTACCTCGAGTTTGGTAAACGCGATCACCAGCCTATAGTGCACAAAACTTATATTAATTCAATTTCATGGCATAATTCTATTTTCAGAACATATTGTAAAATCTATCTAATTTAGTAAAATATATATAATGAAAACTAATAATAATTTCACAAAATTTCACATGCAATTTTAATATTTCAGTTGACCTAGTAAAAGCTATCTAATTTAGGAAAAGATATATAATCAAAACTAATACTAATTTCACAAAATTTCACATGCAATTATAATATTTCAATTCACCTAGTAAAATCAATCTAATTTAGTAAAATATATCTAATCAAACTAATACTAATTTCATAAAATTCTAATATAACTAGCTACTGAACTTTAATGAAATAAAATACTTACCTCGTTTTGCCAAACTGAGTCGGCACGATATTGACCATGTGCCCAAATGAGTACTGAATCGACCGGAGCTATATCAATCGTCGCAGGTGGTCGTCTCGTGGAATAACTGTCAAGAATCCTAGGAACTGCAAAAAAAAAAAAAAAGAAGAAGAAGAAAAAAAAACCCGCCGGCAGCGAGATTCTGGTCACCGGCGACGACATTCCGGTCGCCGGCGGCGAGCTTCCGACCGGTCACTCGCTCACCTCAGTACCGGCAGCGTGCCTGCCGTCCTCTTCCACGGCCTCTCCCTCTGGCGGCCGTCTGTTCTTCGTCGGAGTCCGACATCAAAACAAGAAAACACAGATATGGTTTTGTTCGTTCGAATGCGTTTCCGCAGGAGTGCGGGTTGAACCCGCGTGAGAGTGGGGGCTTTTGTGGCGGTCGGCGCTGGTAGGGTTTGGCGATGGTGGGTTTTGGCGATGAGAGGGGGAGGGTTTGTGGCGTCGCTGCGGACGAGAGGATGGGGGAAGAAGAAGATAAAGAGATAAGATGAAGCTTATGCGTACTCGCACGGGACTGCGCATTCTCTTTTTTTTATGCGCGTCGGCACGAGTCTGGTGCGGGTCCGTAGTAGTCCACTTTGGATCCGCATTTAAAAATACTAAATTTGAGTCTCCTGCGAACCCGCATCTCTTTCCCCACAAAAACACAATATCTGTGTAAATATATTTAAAACCACCGTATTGGTGGTAAATAAAAAAACATTATTTTGGGAACTTACCCCCTTATGTTGTCGGTACTCATATGCCTTGATTTTCCTTTTTGTAGGTACCGACTTCCATTCTGTGACCGACTTGATCAGATCGCGTGTTGGAGCGCACCCCACCGCGCCACGTACGCGCGCCTCGAAACCAGCTCCCAACAAGGGCAAAGCACACGCTAGATGTCCGACTCGCATCAAGATGACTGCCACGGAGGCAGCGCCTCGCATGGCCGACGACGGGTCAGGCGCCTCCTCTGCCTCTGGGACCCAACGTCCTGTCTCAACCTTAACTACCTCCTCACCTCCAGTCACTTCCCTGCCACTGGCGCCCGACACATCCACAGGGTCGAACAAAAAAAGAGAAGGTTTGGAGCTCTTGCCCCTGGGGAAAAAGTCCAAGGTGATCAACATGATAGAGTATGGGGTGCCTCCCAGCTTGGTTTTGCCCACCGTGGGGGAGCACACTGGACAAGTGATGCCCCCCTATTTGCATGGGCCACGCCGCCCTTTGGTCAAGGTGCCGTCGATGTGCCAGTGTTGGCAGCAAAGGATCTAAGCGCCTCGATACAGATGGTCAGGAGTCACGCTGCCGTGATCGAGCGCCCCTTCGAGCCGGTTGTGTCCAAGCCATGGCGTCACATGGCAAACCATTGCATCCAGCTATACCTTACTCGTTTTCCTCCCTTAGAATAGTGTTGCTTGGTCCCTTTATGGGCGCCTCACATGCAATATTGCCCGCCCTTTCTTGGTATGAAGATGATGTTGCTGTGCGAGGACACATCCAAGGCTTTCGAGGGCCTGCACTCGGAGCACAACGAAGTGGCCGTTTCAGCTGAGCGCCTCCGATCCGATCCGATCGCCTCGCGCAAGAAGCAAATGGACCTAACTCAAGCGTGTACCGAGGCGCAGAGTCAGGCGAAGGAGTGGGCCGCTCGTCTCAAGGATGATACGGAGGCGGAGCGCGCCAAGGTCGAGAAGGAGTGCCACGACAAGTACTCTGCTCAGCTAGAGGCGGAGAAAGCGATCGCGAGCGAGCGGAGAAAGCGCTCCGCCAAGAGAGGGACCGATTGGAGCATACTATCCTTGACCTCCAAGAGGAAAACAATAAGGTGAAGAAGAGCAAGGCGCACTACAAGAAGGAGCTCAAGGACACACGAGGCGCCCATGATCAGTTGGTCATTGACTTGGCCAATTACAAGGACTCGCATGCTGGGAAGAACCTACAAGCTGACACCGTTATCAACACGGTGAGGATTCTTCAGCACAAATTTCATACCGAGCACCCCGACGTGTCGTGGGACTCGTTTGACTTACTCCATTACATCCTTAAGTTTATGAACTCTAAACGCTCGGCTGAGAAGGTGACGCCCATTCCTGAGTTAGATGGCGAGCTTGGGGCTGCAGGGGAGGCGCCTGATAGGGCAAAAGCGTAATGCCTCAATCCTATCTCGTAGTAATACCGGAAAGTCTGGGTATCGTCTCTCAGGGACTGGTACAACCTTAATTCTATCAATTCTATGGAGCAAACTATAGATGAAAATGATTTGAGTGATGAAACTATTATCTAATGGCAAAATAATTAAACAAACTAAGCAAATTAAAATTGTCGGGAGAAATTCAATGGAGAAAGCTCTGGGAGAAACACCGGGACGCACTACCTATCATATCAAAATTAATTCACATATTCCAATCAGTTTAATCCATATCTCTACAGCCAGGATATCACGAATGTGCTAGCTATCCCTGTTGGGAATTACTACGTACTAAACAATTAAATCAAATCCTACTGTCGTAGCTCAATGAGTTAATTATTTAGCCTGAAGATCGATATCCTATTTAAGACCGCATAGCACCTTATTTAATCCACTGTCGCTTCGATAAGTTACTATGTCACATGAAATAGGTTCAGTTATTAGGGTTTCACTGTCGCTAATAACCTAATTAACAACTAATCAATGTATTGGTGGCCAGTCAACACAAAGCATTAAGCAATTTCATGCAATAGAGATTGGAAGAAAAGAAATACGAATTAATCCATCAAATCAAGAACTAGCTACATCCTATGGTGTTTCCCCCAGAAATTGGGGTTTAGTTCATGACAAAAATAAAACAAACAATCATGTTCATAATCATCATGTTACGAATCAAAACAAAAGGAAAAGATACTGAATTATTGGATGTTGTTTGATTCTATTTTCCTCTCGCTCCAATCTCCGATCGTTGCTCTCGAATCGCCCTTGCGCTGCGCTCCGCACTGCTCTCGCTGTCCGAGAACTTGCTTCGCCAAAAGAATCTCGCCCTCGTTCCATAATTGCTAGCCGACCTCCCTCTTCTTCTTTTTAAAATCCCAGCCGACCCTTTAATTCTTCCTCCTCTCCAATTAATTCCTCCGCCCCTCTGCTTTTGCTCCCGTCCATCTCACCACCGTCGTCGACTCCTCTCTGCCTTTGTCACCTCCTTCGCCGCTGGTCCTCCATCTCACCGCCTTTGCTCCTTCTCTTCGTCTCTATCATAGCCTTTGCCGCCGATAGAGAGAAGACGAGGAAGAAGAGTTTGAGCAGAGGAGTTTGGGGGCGTGGGTGGGTGTAGGAAGAAAAGGAAGGAGAGAAAAAAAGGGAAGAAGAACGACGAGAGGGGTTGGGGGGTTAGGTTTTCTAATTTTTTAATAATAATTACTTAAATAAAATAATATTGTTATTTTAATATTTTCTGACGTGGACAGCTGACGCGACAGTTTTAGTTATAAAATTCATAAAAGTAATGGATAGTTAGCCATTACATGGTTCGCTACAATAGTTTTGGCTAATAATTTGTATTTCGATAGTTGTGGCTACAATTTCCCGCTTCTAAATATTTGTGGCTAATATATTGTATTTACCCATTTTCATTTAATAGTTGAACGTCTTTTAGACAAATCAAAATTCGAGGATTGAGGCAATAAGTAAACATCGGTGTTAGTTGAAATATCTAAACAAAAACCTTTTGGGTGCGCCTACGGTGACATGCATGTCATGGTGACTTGCACTTTTCGGTCGACCTCAGTTAGTATTAGGTCGACCTCATTTAGGATTAGGTCGACCTAATCTGTTGTTTTAGTGTAAAACAATTTCATGGTGCCTACTTTGGAGATTCATATCGTACAATTGGCTAGATGGAAATTGAAGATTAATGGCTTGTTTTGAAGCTGGAGTGTCCCTCGACATATTGAAGTGATTGAGAGCTTGATAGGAAGTCTAGAAGAATATTTTTGAACCTGATCAAAAGACTATGCCAAAACTGGGAAACTGCCTTAAAATGGCCAAGTCTGGAAACGTGTTTGTGAAGCCCACTTTGGAGCTCAATTCGAGAAGCATGAATGCGATTCGAGTCCAGGGGCCTCTACCACGTTAAATTAGCTATGTTTTATACAAATTCAAGGCATTGGATGATAGATTGGATATCTGTAAAGCTTCAAACAAAAGGGTCGAAGTTGCTACGAAGGCTGTTTTTCTTGCAGACTTCGAGCACAAGCAAGCTGCCTAGAAAAACACCATTCGTAGCAACTTCGAGCCTTTTTTTTGAAGCCTTAAAGATATCCAATCTTCCATCCAATGACTTTCCTTTGTAGACAAACATACTTGATAGACCGTTATTTACACATGTTTTTACCCCTGTTCTTACACCGTTTGAGGTGTTGATTCTCGTGTTTTAGGCCGATTTCACGCTAGGTTGTGCTTGTTTGTGTTATTTCAGGTCCTAGTACGTGAATGGAGGCTTGGGAGCGAGTTTGGGGTCGATTGGACGAAGATCGGACGCATGGCGAGGTTCTAAGGAAGCCACACGGGCAGTCCTGGGTATCACACGGCCGTTCAAGTTGCGTTTGTGGCCGTGTGACTTTCGCCGAGAGCAAACACGGGCATCCCAGGAAATCCACACGGCCGTGCGACCCTGGCCGTGTGGGATGGCTGAAGGCCAACTTAATGATAAGCTGCGTTTCGACTCGCACGAGCAAATGGGTGAGCCACACGGCCGTGTGGCCTGCCCGTGTGAGTCGGGAAATTCTGGTTTTTCAGCCAATTTCGAGCCAAAAGTGGGGGAATCGGATTTTGAGAGCAAAAACAGAGCCCTAGAGAGAGAAAGTACGAAGAACACATCCTAGAAGCTATCTTGGAGCTGGGTTTCATCGAATCGAGCTTGGAGATCGTCATAGGAGTGGAAATCATCATCCCGGAGGAGATTTTCCTCATCATTATGAGTATGACTACTCCGATTACTGTTTTCTCCTCTCTCTCTATGGAGTAGAACCCTTCTCTCACTTGGGTATGAAGAACCCTAGTTCCTTGTGTTAGGGATTTGATTGTAATGACTTGGGATGATTATATTGTTTGATTTTAATCGAATGATGCATGTTTATTGAATTGATTGAAGTCTGATCAGCTTTTCTCGATTTCTGCTGCAACCTGAGATAGATAGAATCTGATTAGGTTGTTAGAGACTCTTCATTCGATAGTAGGAGATTGGTTATACGAGAGTTAGCCAGTTTACTGCTTTGTACTGGAATTCAATTCCAGTAGTGGAGTTCTGTGTTCATAGCCTCAGCTTTCTATCCCGGTGAAGACTAGTCGTCTGCCGGGTAGTTAGACTGAGAGGGCTTGGTCAGCTTAAGAGATTCCAAGCTACTGTCGGATCTTCCGCAGTCTAATCAACAGTGAATCAACCCAGGGGAATTACAATTGAACCTAACTAAGGGGCTAGGGGGACTCATCGAGTGACTCTTTCCTGCTTTAAAAAACCGAACCATTTCCTGCTTTCTTACTGCTTTTGCTTTAAACAACAATTACTCGAATTAGTTTGCTAGATAATAAATCATCACGGAGTAAGCAGTAGATCTAGACCCCGGGTTGATAATAGAACTTGCCTGTTACAGCATTCCCGGACTGCGATTACACTTGATCGCAGTTTGGTGTTGTGTTTTGGCGTGTCAATACTTAATTTAACTTGGTTTAGGAGTGGCAGCCGAAACTGCAGGCAGCTAAGCCTGCTTGAAAGAAAGTCGGAGACCACTATGAGCTGGTCCCGCCCCACCTTGGCCATCCGAGTATTCACTCGCTTGCATCTTGCCGGATGGCCAAGTCGAGCTGGCGAATGCAGATGGCCACATTCGTCGCGTGCATGGCCACCATTTGAAGCTGTACCTCAAGAGCGATGTGGATCCGCTCTTGAAGGCACCTGATCCTACACTTCCCTGAGCATCCATACTGGCGTCCAGCTAAAAGACGGTAAAGAAGCGCTTGTGGGGAGGCAACCCCACCGAGGTTTGCATTTTCTTACTTTTTCCTTTTGTTTTTTTTTTGTGTTTTTTGAGTCTTGAGATGTTGATCCAGAGTCAAATGTCGTTTTTTGAGTGAAAACAGGTTGAATTCGGGGCCCCA